ATCTCGGTCCACCAGGAGGCCCAGAGTCACGCGCCGCAGCCACCGCCGGTAGACCTCTGCCGCGCTGATGGTGCCGTGCCGCGCTTGCGCATCTGCATCGAGTCTGCCGCGCGCTGCAATCTCGATGCAGATGAGTGCAGAGGAATAATTGGCTGCCCGTGATCCGGCCGCCATGAAGCTTGGCCGCCTTCCCCTGCCCGCTTCGATGGCGGCGTGTCGTGTGCGTTGTGCGTGTGTGTGTGTGCGTTGTGCGTGTGTGTGTGTGTTGTGCGTTGTGCGTGTGTGTGTGTGTGCGTTGTGCGTGCGTGTGTGTGTGTTGTGCGTGTGTGTGTGTGTGCGTTGTGCGTGCGTGTGTGTGTGTTGTGCGTGTGTGTGTTGTGCGTGTGTGTGTGTGTGTGCGTTGTGCGTGCGTGTGTGTGTGCGTTGTGCGCGCGTGTGTGTTGCGTGTGCTTGTGTTGCATGTGCTTGTGTTGCATGTGTGTTGCGTGTTGTGTGCGTTGTGCGTGCGTGTGCTTGTGTTGCGTGTGTGTTGCGTGTGCGTGTTGCGTGTGTTGTGTGTGTGCGTGTGTGTTGTGTTGCGTGTGTGTTGTGTTGCGTGTGTGTTGTGCGTGCATGTGTTGTGTGTGCGCGTGCGTGTGTGTTGTGTGTGCGTGTGTGTTGTGCGTGCGTGCGTGTGTGTTGCGTGTGTGTTTGCTGCCGAAGCGGTGTAGCGGTTAGTGCTACGAACCCGGCGGCCCGAGTTCGATTCCCGCTCACGGCCAACACCAGCGACGAATATCTGAGCCGGTCCTGGGCCTCCCCTAGGTCGACTCGGCCCCAAATGATGAGTACCTGTTGCGGTAGGCGTGGTGCTGTGGCCGCTCGCCCCCTCAATGTGCCGTGTCGGCCTTCATAGGTGCTTGCTAACAGCACTCGCCCCAACAATCTGTCCCGTGACCCCCCGCCAGTGAGCCATCGATGCTTGACGTGGCCACGCAGTTGCACCTCGCAAGCGCCCCCGAGGCCCTCCGCCGGCTCGCTCTGCATCCCCGACGCGTACGCACGAACCCGGCTGATCGGCTCCCCCCGCCGTCGTACACAGCGTCGACGAGGAGAAATGGGTCAATCGCTCGAGCCGTGTGTAGTCGTCGTGCCCGCTGCTGCTGCTGCTGCTTCTCCCCCTCCTCCCCCCTCGTTACTGAGCCGTGTCGCGAGGAGGCGTCGTGACCGGAAACTTTCGGTGCGTTCAATTCGCTCGCCCTCTTTCCCTCCGACCCATGCCCCCCCCCGCTCCCCCCCCCCCCCAGCCTTCCGCCACTGCTGCTATAAATTGTTGCGTTTGCCGGAGCCCAATGATTGCTGTATAATGAAGCCCTATTAAGCAGCACGCGCGTGGAGCATGGGCACGTGCCACACAGGCTTTGTGCGAAGGCTGCGGAGCGGCCGCGCCGATCTCACCGAGCAGCGTGAACCATCGCCACGCGGACTCCGGCCGTCGTCGCGGCCGCGGCAGCCGCGGCTTTCGGCTGCTCGTAGGGACGACGGTCGCCGCATCACGACGCTTTCAGACGCGCTTCTGCGTTGATTGAAAACTTTATTTCTTTCTGGTTTTTTTGTGTGTGTTTAGTTTGTTGTCCTTCCAACCCCCCCACCGCCGCCGCCGCCGCCGCCGGCACCTCCGATTAACACGGTTAACTACGCACAGTGCCTATCGATCCAGCAGGGTCCGTGTTTATTGACACGTTGATCTATTGAGAGAAGTAGGCGAATAACAACGCCACCCCACTCCCATATTTGCGTTTTCATGTAAAGCATTTTTTTTATTTATTTTCACACACAACCCATACACCAGTAACGGCCTTTTCCATTGGCAGCATGAATAGTGCACCCGCTGTCGACTCCCTCACAACGTGGTTCTGGTTTTGTCGATGGCGAGCCGAGTCAACCCCCCCCCCCCAAGTTAGGATTTGTTCTCTCAGCCTTCAGGGTGCAGGTCTTGTTTTGTTCGCGGTCCGCAGGAGGTGTTCCTAATAAACTAAACATTTTTTTTTATTTTACCAGGCAGGGTCCGCTGAGCTATGTTGTATCTCTTCTTTGGTTCTTTCGGTAAAGTCACGTAAGCGGCCGAAACGTCGTGAGAATTTTATTGTGTTATTTTATTATTTTATTCTCATTCTACGTGACTTTACCGAAAGAACCAAAGAAGATGAATCCTTGCAGTCACGAAAGCTTTAAATCGAAACTATGTGTATCCCTTTTTCAGGAGCAACCTGGCCACATAAGGCAACTCAACGAAGTGCCTTATCACGTGGACACTTCTAGCAGCCAAATACTCTTAAACGCATGCTGATTCTTAATGCGGTGGGGGGGGGGGGGGGAAACCGGAGGACCCGGAGAAAAATCCACGCCACCACGGCATGAGAGTCAAATTCTAACTCCAAATATACAGCAGCAGCAGGCATCAGGGTCGGGATTGAACCCACGACCTCCTGCATACCAGGCGAGGTAGTTAACATCTCGCAGCCACCGTGACGTCTCCCGAGCCGGCGACTCACGGGATCTTGTTATGGTGCTGCGGCATCCCCGGCTGTCAACCACCTCGTTACCCTCTCTTAAAAACGAAACTGTTGTTGTTGCCGTTCCTAAACCAAGAGTGAGAAACATCGATCGCTGACTCCTTTCCCGTTCCGAGTACGTCTTGCAAGTTGCAGGGTGGGGGGGGGGTGTCCCTTCTAGATTTGAAGCTTTCGTGACTGCAAGGATCCATACTCTTTGGTTCTATTCGGTAAAGTCACGTAGGTAAAAAGTCACCTACGTGACTTTACCGAATAGAACCAAAGAGTATGGGGGTGTCCCGTTCACCGCCTAATCTCGGAACGCGCGAGCGGCGCGGCTTTTATGTTGCTCAGCGAGGCGTTGTAGCGCCGCTGTTTTTACACACGTGCGATGTCGGCGTGCGTCACCGCAATTGGGAGAGGGTTAATCGTTTCGCACGCCCCGGGATCGCTTGACCGCCGGGCGCAAGGCACGCGTCCCAGCGTGCATTATTCACGTTCCCACAACCCCCAGCCTCTCAGTTGCACCTCTCTCTGCGTTGCCTGGCAACGGACCATTCGAGACCGTGACTGGGTGAAAATCGAGCGGGCGGTTTCTGTTGTTGTCAGCGTTAAGAAATGGAATGAGAGGGGTTTTTTTTGTTAATGGTTATGAGGCAGGGGGGGGGGGGGGGGGGGGGGTACGTTAATAATATGTCATTCCTGTTCCGAATATCGAATGCCTAATTCATTATTTGGCCAAATCTAAAGAGAACGTATATTTTGAGATAATATTTTCGGTAAACTCGAAAGACAATATGGGACCGTTCTTGCCAGTATTCAAATGTAACACTAGCTTTTACCCTTTCCGGCAATAAAACAGTTGCGTCAAGATGTTAAAACACCAAACAGAATCCTTATTCAAGGAGTCCTGTCTGCATTACGTACTTGTGGTGAACATGCAAACAAAAAACATGCCCTGATAATCGATTTCAAAGACAATGCATCATCATATACTACCAGAGCAATGTATTTTGTTTGTATGTTCACCACAAGTGCTGTGTGTGGTTAATGCAGACAGGACTCCTTGAATAAGGATTCTCTTTGGTGTTTTAACATCTTGACACAACTGTTTTATTGCCAGAAATGGTAAAACCTATTGTTATATCGAAATACACTCTCTGTTTCACTGTCTCTCGGTGTCTCTCGTCTCCCGTGCTCTCTCTGTCTCCTCCTCTTCTCTGTCTCCCTCTGTCTCCTCTTCTGTCTCCCTCTGTCTCTCGGTGTCTCTCGTCTCCCGTACTCTCTGTCTTCCTCTTCTCTGTCTCCCCTTCTGTCTCCTCTTCTGTCTCCCTCTGTCTCTCGGTGTCTCTCGTCTCCCGTGCTCTCTCTGTCTTCCTCTTCTCTGTCTCTCGGTGTCTCTCGGTGTCTCTCGTCTCCCGTGCTCTCTCTGTCTTCCTCTTCTCTGTCTCCCTCTGTCTCTCGGTGTCTAGCTCTCTCTCTCTCTGTCTCATTTCGTCTCCCTTTGTGTCTACCGTCTCTCCAATGAGGCTACCACTGATTTGTCCGGGACTCTTTGTCAGCGGAGGGTTCCCCATTGAGATGATGGGAGCACGCTCATTGTTGAATTGACAGGCATGTGAGAGGAAACCGGAGTACAGAGAAAGTCCACAGAGGGGTCACACTGCAAGCTCTGCACAGTGGGTTTCAATCCATCGCTGTACACAATTCCCTCATTATTCACGAACTTGCTCTCCGCAATTTTGGCCATTGGCGAATAGCATCTGGGACTCAATAAGTTAAGTATGTTCGTAGCAGCTCAGTGGCCTTTACCTGGTGAAATACAAAAAAGATATATAACATACAATTTACCTTTCCTATACTTTAAACTCCTATCGTGTGTTTCTACTGTTTGTTGTTGTAACTTTCTGACCTGGCCCTACTGGACATCTGTGAAAAAGAGCTTCATAGCTCAATAATAGGGTTTTTCCCCTTTTTTTCTGGCAACAAAACTAAAACCTCTTTACGAGGATTCATGTCTGCATTAACCACAATACCTGCAGTCAAAATGCAAACAAAAAACATACTATGATAATATATGCATTGTCTTTGAAACTGATTGGTCCACACCAAGGGACGGCTTTCTTTTGAGCCTCGACCCAATTGGTGCTGGACCAGATGACGCCAAAAGGCATCACACAGCTCAAAAACAATGCACTATCAAGGTAATGAGGGCTCGGGGTGAGCATCTACATCATTAGACCTCCTTTACCAGTACCAAAATGTAATAATATGGTTTTTCCCCTGAGCTTCATAGCTCATCGGATTTCTCCCGATTCTCCTTTGCAGGTGGGTGCCCTCGTCCGTACATTGCCGCTCGATACTCCGGTCGCCCCCAAGGTGGGCCCCGTACTCTGATTGCATTCCGTGTGACCGTCCCTCGTGTGTTGCTCCTGCCCCCCCCCCCCCGCTCATGCCTCTGTGCAGGTGGACGAATCAACAGCCGCGACGTGTGGATGTACAACTCGCAGCTCAACGTGTGGGTGCGCGTGGCGTCGCTCGCCAAGGGAAGGTGGCGGCACAAGATGGCCGTGCTGCACGGGAAGGTGAGCCGTTGTCCCGCGATCGTCGCGGCGCCGTTTGGGATCGTCGTTCCTCATACGGCGGTGGATCGATCGGCCGTGATCGATCCCGCTGCTGGATGAAGGTCTCCCCCGTAGGCGAGAGAACAAATGAGGAGCCAGTACGCCTCCTATAAAGTCTCCGAGGCGGCGCTAATGAATGCTGTGTGTTACGTGTGATGAGACCGGATCTGAAGATGCCATGCGGAAAAAAAAACACATTTATGGGGGCACATTTATTTTGTAAAGAGAACGAGGAAGCCTGTCCCATAGGCAGCGGAAGTGAGGACGTCTTGAGCCCAGACTTGATCAGAGGCAGTGAGTTGACAGCACAGACGGCTGGGGGGAAGGGAGATCCAGACTATCGGGGACATCTGTGAAAATTACTGGACGCCAGTGAAAACTAATGGACATCTGTAAAAAAAAAAAAGAGCTTTATAGCTCATCGGATTCCTCCAGTATATCTACATATTCTGATTCGGAGAAGGAGCGACCTCGCGTACGTAGCTGCACGTCAGCGCCCACTCCGCACGTGGGGTCGCTCGATCGTTGCTGTGGGCGGCCGTTACATTTCGTCATGCGCGCGAAGCCATTCTGCACGAACCCGGCCGTAGCGTTGTCATCCCTGTCAACCCCTTATCAGTGCCCTACCTTAATGCAGGCCAATTCAGCCCGTAGTTGTGGTCACCTCGTGCCCCTTATAAATCTCAACGTTCATCCTACAAAGTCCCATGGCAAGGGAGAAACACAAACACATAGACACACATTTTTTTTGCCCGTATCGAAACGGCTGTACGCCGTGTGGACTTTAAAACTCTGTTTCCCTGTACAAGAATACGGGGTAAACCGGGTGGGTTGACACGGTATGCGTTTGTGAGCCAGCAAAAGCATTGCAGTGGTGCGGCAATTAATCGAATAACACGGATTCGTACGCTCGCGATGCGTGCATCGAATCCCTCGCCTTGGAATCGATTTTCCCCTTGGTATCTGCTTCGTGTAATTGTGTCACACAAGTCGAGGCATTCACCTACAACATAAAATATATTTAGACAGAAAAAGCACTGTTGTTATCCCGTACCTGTCAACCCGTACGGTTTACCCGTATTCTTGTACAGCGAAATGTATTTTAAAAAAAAAATCCTACATTTTTTTTGTAGATCGTTTCGTATATCTTAGTGAAAATGTAGGCCTCAGTTTATTTCTCGAAAAGTTGTATGTGCTCGGAAAATGTGGTGAACTCTAAGTATAACTCTCAGATAACTGGAATGTTTGATTAACCGGCACCCCCTATTCCCCATGGATGCTGGATAACAGGGCTTTTGCTGTATATATTTTTTAAGGTGTCATGAGTTGAAACACGACACCCCACAGAATTGTGACAATGCATTGAATCGGAATGAGCGGTGAATCGTTCCTTATCTATTGCACAGCGGGACGCAGGGGGACACAGTGGGACACAGTGGGACACATGGGGACACAGTGGGACACATGGGGACACAGCGGGACACACGGGAACACACAGGGACACGGGGAGACAGGAAGACACAGTGGGATTCAGCGGGACACGGACACACTGGGACACAGGGTGACACAGTGGGGCACATGGGGACACAGCGGGACACACGGGAACACACAGGGACACGGGGAGACAGGAAGACACAGTGGGATTCAGCGGGACACGGACACAGTGGGACACAGGGTGACACAGTGGGGCACATTGGGACATAGCGGGACACACGGGAACACACAGGGACACGGGGAGACAGGAAGACACAGTGGGATTCAGCGGGACACGGACACACTGGGACACAGGGTGACACAGTGGGACACATGGGGACACAGCGGGACACACGGGAACACACAGGGACACGGGGAGACAGGAAGACACAGTGGGATTCAGCGGGACACGGACACACTGGGACACAGGGTGACACAGTGGGGCACATGGGGACACAGCGGGACACACGGGAACACACAGGGACACGGGGAGACAGGAAGACACAGTGGGATTCAGCGGGACACGGACACACTGGGACACAGGGTGACACAGTGGGACACATGGGGACACAGCGGGACACACGGGAACACACAGGGACACGGGGAGACAGGAAGACACAGTGGGATTCAGCGGGACACGGACACACTGGGACACAGGGTGACACAGTGGGACACATGGGGACACAGCGGGACACACGGGAACACACAGGGACACGGGGAGACAGGAAGACACAGTGGGATTCAGCGGGACACGGACACACTGGGACACAGGGTGACACAGTGGGGCACATGGGGACACAGCGGGACACACGGGAACACACAGGGACACGGGGAGACAGGAAGACACAGTGGGATTCAGCGGGACACGGACACACTGGGACACAGGGTGACACAGTGGGGCACATGGGGACACAGCGGGACACACGGGAACACACAGGGACACGGGGAGACAGGAAGACACAGTGGGATTCAGCGGGACACGGACACACTGGGACACAGGGTGACACAGTGGGGCACATGGGGACACAGCGGGACACACGGGAACACACAGGGACACGGGGAGACAGGAAGACACAGTGGGATTCAGCGGGACACGGACACACTGGGACACAGGGTGACACAGTGGGGCACATGGGGACACAGCGGGACACACGGGAACACACAGGGACACGGGGAGACAGGAAGACACAGTGGGATTCAGCGGGACACGGACACACTGGGACACAGGGTGACACAGTGGGGCACATGGGGACACAGCGGCACCGGTAAGATGAGCCAAGATGCACCTCGCACTTGAATAGCAAGCATTTGGTTTCAAAGTTGAGCATTGCGAGTGGATGTTATCGTTGGCATGTGTGGGCCGCAGGCGAAAGCGGCATTATTTTAACACCCTGTCAATTGCTTCGAGAGCTGAATGGAGTTCAAAAGAATTCGAAAACAAATACCTTGTAAAATACCCAACGCAGAAGTTCGCCGGGTTTGATCTTCCACGAAGCTCATGGTCCACCCTAAACCGGATCCGCTGCAGATGACGCAGCTACCTGATGCACAAAGGGAAAATGTTCAACTTTCCAGCAGTGTGCAACTGCGGTAACCAAGAACACACCGCTCAGTACAGCGTGTATAGCGACGCAATGGCCCGATCCACAAACTCGAAGGAGACATCGCAGCGATGATGCTCTCCCGCTGCTCCTGACGCCGTTATCTGGGCTTGACCACCTGAGTGGGAAATTGTAGTTGCTGCTCTGCGTTTACATCGGCAGCAGCAGCAAGAAGAATTATGCAATGCCACGGTTAGACTGTTTCGTGTACAGGTGGACACTAGATCTGCAGGACCAAAGATTGCGGAGAGCAGGAGAGGGGGGGGGGGAAATTGAGCGGTAGCGGTGGCTTAAACAGTTATTTTAAAACCTAATCTAAAAAAAGGCACACACACGCACACACGCGCACACGCACACGCACACACGCGCACACACGCGCACACTCCGGCAAGTGTAAATATAGGTTAAAGGCACAGCCCTGCGATTGCATCTTCACACCACTTTCAGTGTAAGGGCCTCCACCAGAGGGTGCTCTAAAGAGCCCACCCGCCCGAGGGTGTTTTTGGCCTACTCTTCCACGCTGACCGGATATCTGGTAACAGGCGCAAGTACCCAACACTTTCCCCCACCACACGGGGGGGACCTGCCGATCGATGGATTGTGGCGAACACATTCATCATGCTGGGTGAGCGGAGGCACGGGCTGGAGGGGTTTAATAAAAGTCGTCCCCTGTTGTTGTAAAAGTGCCGCGCCGGGAGATTGAATTGAACCGACAACCTCCAGATTGCAAGTCGAGGGCGCCGCTGAGCGCTACACGGCCGCGTCTTCATTTTAAACCAAGGACAAAAAAATCTGATAGATTTGTTTTCAAAGGACGCGCATATATACGTACGTGCGCACGCACGCACAGTCCGTCGAATGTAAAAATACAACGCATTTTCTGACACCCACTCTCTCCCACTCGCACGACCAATCACTCGCATCCTGTTGTCGCTGAGGAGCCCACGCGCTGCACGCACGCACACGCACGCGTGGGGGTCACGTGCCCATCGCGATACGTCCAGCGAGCCCCGCAGCCGTGAGCCCGCACGCGATAAAGCGTGGAGCCGGCTTCCCGCAGCGCGCGCGCGTGGAAAAACTCCTAAACTCCAGGCAGAGAAGCCCGCTCCACAGACATCAGCTGGACGCTGCGTCGGCGTCGCCCCCGAGGTGCCTCCGGCGCCGTTTGAAAACTTGCCGCGGCTCCAGTTCACCGCCTTTAAAGTCCACGCGCCAGGCTGTTTCCCCTTAGTGTGTTAGTTGTCTTGACCCCCTCCCCACCCCCTTTTCCCCCCTCACCCCCTACGCAAGGTCCCCACTTGGCCGGGGCTGCGGGCGCCATATCCCCCCCCCGCCACTACGTCCAGTCTCGTCAAGCCAAATCTGAATTCTCGTGGATTTTCTGATCCCCCCCCCCATGGCAACAATCACCAAAGAAAGTGCTTCCCCCTACTCTGGGCACTAGAGGTTATTCAAGGGCAATCGCTGAAGTAGTTCTGTAATATTCTTGGTTCTTTCGGTAAAGTCACGTAGAAGGGAAACAATAAAATATATATTTTTTATTTTATTGTAAAATATATATTTTTTATTTTATTGTTTCCCTTCTATTATTTTATTGTTTCCCTTCTACGTGACTTTACCGAAAGAAAAAAACATTTTTATTATTTTATTGTTTCCCTTCTACGTGGTGAATTTACCGAAAGAACCAAGGATATGAATCCCTGCAGTCACGAAAGCTTCAAATCAAAATTTAGTTCTGTGATATCCCTTTCCGCGGACCGCTCTGCAAGAGGGGAAGGGTTTGCGTCTGTTCTGCGAGAAATCGGATTCTTCCTCTTGTAACGTGGCGCTAATAGCGCAATCGAGAAACCACGTGAGGATTTTTTTTTTTGCTACAAACGTTAGCAAGGAACTGAAATTTCGATGACCACGGACATTCGAGCGTGCAGATTTCGGGGCCTCGGGCCGAACGCACGACGAGCGGCTAACGGTGGCGGTAGTGCTGCACTCATTCGTTGGCATGGGGATTCGGCCGCATCGCAGACAAGCTCCCTGCGCGCGATCTCACGCAATCGCTCTTTATTTTATTTATTTTTTTCCCCCTAACGAACAAGTGGCGGCTTGTGCAGCCGAACGACGCTCGCGTTTTGCAGATGTTTGCCAAGCCGGCGGTGCTGGTAGCGACGCAAATGCCTCCCCAGCCGCGTCGCCCCGGCCTTTCTCCCACTCTCCTCCCCCTCGCCGCTGTCACCACCCGCCCGGCTGTTGTTTCCCAAAATAAATTTTGCACGGCCGTGGAATTATTTTTTAGGTTTTTTTTTTCGTGTCCGGGAATTTTTCGGACTGCCTGGGATCAGCTCTGATGCTGCGGATTTATTTGTGGGGATTTAAAACGTGAAGGTGCAGCCATGCCACCGCTGGCGGAAGGGACTCCGCCAGACGGAGCTTTGAGAGCGTCTCTCTACAGCGGTGTTTCTCAAACTTTTATGGGCCCGCAGACCACTCGGCCGATGTAAACATTTCCACGGACCACCCAGCCCACCCACCAACCTCCCTGGTGATGAAAATCATTCACTTCTCTCTCTACACACCGGGGTCCTGTGCTAGTAACGAATTGGCACGTTCTGTGTACGTGACGGACCTTACTCATTGGCTGTGTCGGCTGGTGGTGGTTTTAACGACGCATTTATATTTATGCGACCTAACCCAAATACCTACGTTATAAAAATGACTAGGGTAGTTTCATCAGGGTAGTTTACTTAACTTAGTCTTTAAATTAAATATCACGAATGAAACATGAGTTAACGTCCATAAGGAGAGGCATTAACGTTGTCATTATTGTCCGGATCGGCCTGCATTGGCATCACAGCCCCATGGAGCCACGTGGAGGTTCACCATCTGGTGGTCCAGGACTACTACACTCTTGAGAATCACCGCTCCATGGGGTATTTCGGATGATGCGTCCACGCTGGCTAGATGTCCTCATAAGAGGTGGGACACCCACACTTTTCCCGACCACAGCGTGCCCTATCAATCATCTAACTTATACAGTTCTGATGGACAGAGGCGGGGGCGGCGGGGGGATTCAAGAAACTCGCATTGCTTCGACTGCCGCGGCGAGAGACGGTAAAGAACCGGCAACCTCCGGGTTGCAAGCTCGATGTGCAGACCGTTAAACCACGTCAGCGTCTCGTAGAGCTGCGCACCACCGTTAAACTTAACGGGGAATTTCAGGAATGGACCCCATGGCTCGGTCCGCTTGAGACGCCCGTAAAAAAATGCTCGCCAACAAAGAGGCTGGCCAGCCGGGGCACGGGACTTATTGCGTGCGCCGTCAGGGTTGTCAGCGGCCAGGAGACCACTCGGGGCGATGGCGCGTCCCGGGTCTGAATTCGTGCCACGACTTGCGCTGCCTCGGCACGTGGCGGCGAGCCCGAGGTCGCGGTGAGACGGCGTCGTCCGTGTGGGTACGGACGTCGGCCAGCGCCGGGAGATCACTCGCAACAGCCGCGGTGTGGGCTGTGCAGTGCTGACCTCTTTCTGCCCTCGGCACCGCCACTCCCATTTCAGATTGTGAAAGGGTCTGTCACGAAATTAGTTTCACATTCGAGGGTCCTTGCCATGAACATCTCTATCAAGCAAGGCTGATGAGACACTCCGCCTCAAATCGCTGCACCTGAATGAGCTAAATGATGATGTCACCCTGCTGCTGCTCTATTTAAGACCTGGAGCAAGCGAGGGCTTTACCATTCTGGCGAATTGCCCGATGATGCTGGATGTAATTACCAGCGAAACGTCGTACTCAAACTGTGAATGTTGTTGATTCACTCTTCAACACACCGGTGGGCTAAAGTAGTGAACTATTTGCCCTTTGTCAACGTGACACTTTTTTCTGATTGGCCGTGTCGGGTGGTGGAGGGTTACGACATATTTATAAATAACGCGATCTAACCCAAAAACCTTTATTAAGAATAATATTGGTCGCGAAAGCCTACTTGTTAAACTTATTTTGAGTTCTGTTTTTTTTACGTTTTTATTATATCTCAGTAGGCACGTGCCACTCTCACTCCGCCACGCGTTTGTTATTAGCACGGTGGTGCAACCCTGGTCAATCGATATCTGTGGTGCTCCGGAAGAATTTGGAATTGTGTGTGTGTTTTTGCATCAAAGCCTGCGTTGGGCAAGTGCTTTGATATTTGCAAAACTCAAATACCGAGCGTTGGAATTCCCCTTTTGTGTAAAAGGTAAAGGTTCAGCCCTGCAATGGCATTCATTTTATAACTAGCCTCAACAGATGATTAGCCTCAACAGATGATTAGCCTCAACAGATGACTAGCCTCAACAGATGATTAGCCTCAGCAGATGATTAGCCTTAGCAGATGATTAGCCTTAGCAGATGATTAGCCTCAACAGATGACTAGCCTCAACAGATGATTAGCCTTAGCAGATGATTAGCCTTAACAGATCATTAGCCTTAGCAGAGGATTAGCCTCAACAGATGATTAGCCTCAACAGATGATTAGCCTCAACAGATGATTAGCCTTAGCAGATTATTAGCCTTAACAGATGATTAGCCTTAGCAGATGATTAGCCTTAGCAGATGATTAGCCTCAACAGATGATTAGCCTTGGCAGATGATTAGCCTTAACAGATGATTAGCCTTAACAGATGACTAGCCTTAACAGATGATTAGCCTTAGCAGATGATTAGCCTCAACAGATGACTAGCCTCAGCAGATGATTAGCCTTAGCAGATGATTAGCCTCAACAGATGAGTAGCCTTAACAGATGATTAGCCTTAGCAGATGATTAGCCTTAGCAGATGATTAGCCTCAACAGATGATTAGCCTCAACAGATGACTAGCCTCAACAGATGACTAGCCTCAACAGATGTTTAGCCTCAACAGATGACTAGCCTCAACAGATGACTAGCCTCAACAGATGACTAGCCTCAACAGATGATTAGCCTTAGCAGATGATTAGCCTCAACAGATGATTAGCCTCAACAGATGATTAGCCTCAACAGATGACTAGCCTTAGCAGATGATTAGCCTCAACAGATGATTAGCCTTAGCAGATGATTAGCCTCAACAGATGATTAGCCTCAACAGATGATTAGCCTTCGCAGATGATTAGCCTTAGCAGATGATTAGCCTCAGCAGATGATTAGCCTTAGCAGATGATTAACCTCAACAGATAATTAGCCTCAACAGATGATTAGCCTTAGCAGATGATTAGCCTTAGCAGATGATCAGGCTCAACAGATGACTAGCTTCAACAGATAAACATCCCCAACATATAACTAGCTTCAACATATAACTAGCCTCAGCAGATAACTAGCCTTAACAAATGACTAGCCTCAGCAAATGGCTAGCCTTAACAATGGCAAGTGGGTTTTGCATAGCTCCAGTGGCTTCCTACTAGCGGAAAGGAGAGCGTTCCAGACGGCCGCAATAACGCATCTTAACCCGCGCAATGCCGGTGACCGTCCTTATTCGATGGCCAGCCAAAAGCCGCTACCGAGCATGACTGGAGTTCGTGTGATGTATGTGTGCGTATGTTTATTGAGCCTCTTTCACAACGGCACGCTTCCCAGCAGCCTGTTAAAAGGCGACCGTGGGGGTCAGCGACCCGCTGCGTTTGACTCGCACGCGCTCGCACGCTCGCAGGTGTACGCCGTGGGCGGCTACGACGGGCAGACGCGTCTGAGCAGCGTCGAGTGCTACGACTCGTTCGCCAACCGCTGGACGGACGTGGCGCCGCTCAAGGAGGCCGTGAGCTCGCCGGCCGTGGCCAGCTGCTCGAACCGCCTCTACGTCATCGGCGGAGGCCCCGACGACAACACCTGCTCCGACAAGGTGGGCCGCCGAACGCCGCGGGCGTGCGTTTTGTGCCGCGGTGGCCAGGAGACGTCACCTACCTCGCCTGGTGTGCGGGAGGCCGTGGGCTCGGTCCCGACCCTGTATATTTGGAGTTTTGCGGTGTCTCTCTCTCTCTCTCCGTGGTGGAGGGCATTTTTTCCTACACATTTAGGAAAAAATATTTTGCTGCTCTAAATTTTCACGCGGGATAAGCCGCTTCGTTGAGCTATCATTTGTGGCCAGGTCACTTCGGAAAAAGAGCTATACAGCTCAGTGGGTCTTACCTGGTAAAATAAAAAATGGTTTATTTTGCGCACGGACCGCCACGGCTTATATATAGGTCTTTATCACAAGTGACCTGGCTATCACAAATGACAGCTCTACCAAGTGGTTTTTCGCGCATGGAAATGTATAGCAGCAAAATAGTCTAAACGCGTGATGTTGATTCTAAATGTGGAGGTAAAAACCGGAGGACCCGGAGAAAAATCCACGCGACCACGGAGAGAGAGAGAGAGACACGTAAAGTGAATGCAAATGCTATCCTAATGTTTTGCCAATTTTTTACTCATGCAGAGAGAACCCTGAGACTCGTATTGAGACCCATAGACTTGCACCGACCCCATAGACTCACACAGAAACCCCTAGACGCCTATAGAGACCCATAGGTTTACAGAGAGACCCGTAAACTCCCCTTGAATTTCACTGCACCGTAGTAGGCAACACGTTTACGGATACAAAGTGAAGCCGGCTCGCTCCTCCTGATGTTCCGAGGGCCGAGCACGGCGCATCACCTGCATCACCCGTCTCCTCCTCCTCGCTGTTAAATCCAGGTGCAGTGCTACGACCCGGTGACCAACACCTGGTTGCTGCGCTCCTCCATCCCCATCGCCAAGCGCTGCATCAGCGCCGTGTGCCTTAACAACCTCATCTACGTCTCCGGAGGGCTCACCAACAACATCTTCTGCTACGACCCCCTGGAGGACTACTGGATGAACGTGGCCACCACCTTCAGCAAGCAGGTAGGGTGTCCCCCCCACCCCCCCCCCCCGCCCAGAAGAGGGAGAAACACTCGATCCCGCGCGGACGGAACGGTTGGCGTTCTCGTTTTTTTCACCCGGGGGAGCCTGCTGCGGGGGGGGGATGGCTCTGACACGAGTCGCCGCCGTGCTCCCCGCCCCACCCCCAGGAGAGCTGCGGCATGACGGTGTGCAACGGCAAGATCTTCATCCTGGGCGGGAAGAGCGAGAGCGGGGAGGCCATGGACACGGTGCTGTGCTACGACCCCGGCTCGGGCATCCTGACCGGCGTGGCCGCCATGCCGCGGCCCATCTGCTACCACGGTTGCGTCTCCATCCACCGCTACCACAAGCACTGAGGCCCCCGCCCCGCGCCCCGCCCCCCGCCCTCCCTCGCCTTCCCGACACGTGCCCGCTGCCGGGCCCCTCTCCTCTTGTCCAGCACCGTGCGTCGCAACGCCGCGGCCGTCGATCCCGTCTGCGGCCGCTTACGAGCGCCCCTCTTCCGCCGGCGCGTCCGAGCGGTGGTGCGGCACGGAGTCCTCGTGGGACTGGCTCGGTGGAAGGGGGAGGGGGGGGTAAGCAGGGCCAGGTGCGGGGTTAATGACCCCGTTGCACGTGACTCGAGTTGGTACAAATCAAACGCAGCGTCCCCACGCCGTCTCCGCGCGGCCTCGACCCGTGTACGTCATTGGCGCGGCTCCACTTGGAGGACCAGGGCAGCAAGGGCGAATTTCTTCCGCGCAACTTGTCGCATCCGCCCATCGGTCAGCCAAATGAGGCCAAGCTGCGCGCACACCGAGCGGACGCTGGCGAGGCGAAGTCCATCGATGGGCGGCACCCTCGATGGAGAAGCAGCCCGATTAAAAAAAACACACACACGCACACACGCACACGCGCATACACGACACACGTGGAGACGATCGTCACCGAGCGAGCGCTGCGGCGGCCGCACCGGGAACTTAACGCCCGGCGACGCAGACAAACAAACAATGCTCGGCCGCACGTGCAGATGCCGCGCTGTTGTTTTGGCAGGGGCAATTACGCACCGTGGCAGGCGACGCCGGAGAGCTAGGCTCTTCTTTCTCTCTCTCTCTCCCCTGCGAGTCTGTGAACCCGTGGCCGTTGCGTTCGACGGCAGCTCTGAGCGCCGCTCTCACGTTAACCCGATTATGCAGTCCAGTGGGGGGGGGGGGGGGGGGGGTGCTATGCCACGTCCCTGCGGGGCTGCCTTATTGCCTGGCATTAGCATCCTGCTGTCAGGTTGCGTGAGCCCCACGTGACAGGAGCTGCGAAGCTCTCTGCTGTGTGTGCGTGCGTGTGTCAGGGTCTCCCGTTAGCTGCATGGCCTTAGGTCTGGTAATCGTTTCCGTGGCTGGTTTTTGGGTGGGCGTTCGTCAAATGCGTGTTTGTAAACTTCATTGTTTTAACATCAAAATCCCTGTGTATATTTAAGTTGGGGAAAATGTTGCGTTTGAAAAGCGACGGTCGATGTGGAGATTTTTTTTCCATTTTAGTTTCTACCCCAACACGAACCTAAATTCTTTAACATTTATATTTGTTGAAAAAAAAACTTTTTGATTTTAAAAGAAAAATATTCCACCAAGTATATTTTAACATATACCACCAAGAACTAAGTGAGCAGTCAACGATAGCGGATCAAAAACAATACCATCCACGAACATGCCTTTTACTGTCACGTGATGCACTTGAAGGCAATGCTCTTTCTGATCGCCTGCGTTCAACATTTTTCAAAAATCGCTTCTGGCAATGGGCCATTAAGATTTATAGATGGGGATAAGAATGGAGGCCGTTTAAGTGATCGCGGGGAGATCTCGTGCAGCAGCTACATACGCCCTTGGTCCGAGGTACGCTGTGGGCTTCTCTGAGCGGACGTGTGCTGGGGTCGAAGGCTCCTTTCAATATCGACAGTAACCCATCGTTTTTCTAGTTTAAGAGGATTGATTAAATTAGTGGATTATATTTTGATAGCGCGGGAGCAGTGGGCACGGTGGTTGGCGCACTGAAATCTAATTTTTTAACTGAAACCTAATATTTTTAGAACGGCTTTTTGTGTCAAGTCTTTGTGGTCCTTCCCCGGCACCTCCGATTAGCGCGGTTGGCTACGTACGGCACGAAAGAAGTTCAGTGTACACACATACTGCATTGCGAACCCGGCGATTCCTAGCCACGCTCTGACAAATGTCACCGATACCAGGCTATGGTGTGTGTGTTTGTGTATAGCTGTGGGGAGCAGTGGTGCAGCAGTTAGTGCGCTATAAACCAGGCGACCCGAGTTTGATTCCCGCTCACGGCAAACACCGGTGACGATTATCTGAACCGGTCCTGGGCCTCCCCTCGGTCGACTCGGACCTCAAATGAGTAACTGGTGCGGCGTGTACAACATCGCCACCAGGGAGACAAAGGCGGCCGGGCGTGGTGCTGGCCACCCACCCCTTCGTGTGCCGTGCCGGCCTTCATAGGTGCTACTCGCTAACAGCACTTGCCCCTGCAGTCTGTGAAGGCTACATGGGGTGGGGGGTCTTTGCCATCTATCGCTGTGGCTGTGCGTGCACACAGAGACACGTGGCCCGTTGCGGTCTGCTCGCTCGTCACGTGGTATAAGCAAGCGCTGCTGTGCTGCAGCCGTGCTATTGGATAAGATTTGCATGGAAGCACTCGCTCTCTCTGCAAGGCGGGGCTTGCTGTGATCACAACCCTGACGCGCGCGTGACACCTTGTTTAAACGGGAGCGGCGGCGGGGTGCACGCCGGTCAAGGTTAAATGTCAAAAAAAATTGTTGAATGGGGGAAAAAAAGATTGCATAACGACATCTCGTTTTCTTCTTTGGTTCTTTCGGTAAAGTCACGAAGAATGAGAATAAAAGAATAAATTAATAAAATAGAATAACACAATAAAATTCTCACGACGTTTCGGCCACAACACAAGCGGCCTTCTTCAGGTGAAAGGAACAGACCCGTCGGGACGACAGAGCTTCAATTGGAAAGGAACAGATCCGTCGTCCCGACGGGTCTGTTCCTTTCACCTGAAGAAGGCCGCTTGTGTCGTGGCCGAAACGTCGTGAGAATTTGAATGTGTTATTTTATTAATTTATTATTTTATTCTCATTCTACGTGACTTTACCGAAAGAACCAAAGAAGATGAATCCTTACAGTCACGAAAGCTTTAAATCGAGACATCTCGTTTGCTTACGCCCGTCTTGCATTCTGTGCTAGCTATCTATCGCCCGCGATATTTACACGGGGAAACTCTGTGGTGCCCGTTGCTTAAATGTGCCCACTTTTTTGCACCGACGTTTTTGTTGACGACTATAAGCAGGGAGCGCTCGGCCCTTCTTTGGCCTCCCCGATGCCGCTCAGTTGTGTTTTCGTCGCCGTCGTCGTTTGGAACGCGTCCTGTGCGTCTGCCGGCCAAGGTTGCCGTGCGCCGTCCACCGATGGGACCGAACCGCCGCCGCCGCCGCCGCGGTGCCATAACTGGCGCCGTCATCGCGAAGAGCGATCAGCCTAACGCATAGGGCGCTTCGTGAGTGGGTGCGCGAGATTCGAGGCTGTGGATTATGTCGATGCCGCGCCGATTGGTGGACCCCAGTAGGTGAACGTCTTGGAAAGTGAAGGTGAAGCCTTGCAATGACCGGCCGTGCCACCGCAGTGACCGATGGCGCCACTGCCGGCAGGGAAGGGCCTGTACGAGAGGGAGCTCGAGTGAACCCCTGCAGCGGTGCATGTGGCCTACTCTTACAAACTGGCCACACACCTTGACCCCCACCACACGAGACCTGCCGATGGATAAACTGCCGTGTACCCGTTTACACCGCTGGCTGGTCAGAGGTGGTGGCGAGTTCAGAAACTTTGCCGTTGTTTCGACTGCCGCACCAGAAGAACAAAGCGGCGACCTTTTGATTGTCCAGTGTGCCAACCGTGGCGTTTAAAAAAAAATCATAATATTACGCCTAGGGGCTTTGTCCACCAAAGTTTAGTGTTGTTCTTCTGCCGCACCTCCGATTAGCGCGGTTGGCTACGTTCGGTGCTCAAGAAGTTCAACATACCTCTCTACAGAATCCGGATATTTATTTATACTGGAGGAATTCGATGAGCTAAAAAGTAGGGACGGATAAGAACGTTACAACAACAAACAATGCAGAAACACGATAGGCGTGCGAAGTACAACAAAGTTAAACAAATCACACAAACATACACAAACACAACACTAAACCATCCGCATCCTTCCAGGCAAAGCCCACCGAGGTGTTAAGTTATGTTTCTCAAGCGACCTGGCCACAAATGATAGCTCAACAAAGTGTAATTTTAATTTGGACATTTATAGCAGCAAAATAATTGAAATAGTCGAAGGCCATCGGTGCGATTCTCAGTTTGTCTCCGTTGCACACATTTAGCGCAGTGGCGTGGGAGGCGGTGGGGGCGGGGGGGGCTTGCGCCTCGTGACCGTCGGACGAGTCGACGTCACACGGAGGTCGCCTTGCGCGCGACGCTGAATGCGCAGCCGATGGAAGGCCACGAGCGAGCCGGCGTGCACGCGAGGCCCGTTGCAGTCGAGCGACGGAGGGCCCTCGTTGAAAGGCAGCGGGGAAGAGGGGGGGGGGGGTGGCCGTCGCTGCGCCCGTGTCGGCAGAATCGCACGCGAAGTGTGGACCGCTGGGCGGGACCGCTTGCTTGCCAGTAACCCCTCGACGCGTTTGCGGGCGGTGGCCGCGCGGCGTTCGAAGCGACGTCTCGCGTTCAGCTCCACGTGCCGGCGCCGCGAGCTCGTTGCGGCGTGCGTACCGTTGGACTTCTTTCGAACCGCCGTGCGTAGCCAATGGTGCTAATCGTAGGTGCGGGGGAAGGACAACAACAACAACAACAACCTAGATGCACGGAAGGCAGTTCTAAAGCAGTGAGTCGTCAATCTTGATGATTTCGAAGCGCACAGTTCCCAGTGGCCGGAGAAGTGCACCTGGAAGCGCTGCGGTGACCGTCTTTTTGCATACACCTGGGAGCGAAGCGGTCCGGCATGAGGGCAAAACCCAAAAAGCATCACGGAGAACTGTACAGCGCAACCTGGAACACCTACGCCGACATACCACTTATGTCCTTGCGGTTAAAAACTCGCCGATAGGAAACTTTGTCGACGTGGATGGGAACGCCCCACAGAGGTGTTTTGAGCAAAGTGCATGGAGTTGGGACAACTTAATTAAGCTTTTATTAACCGGTGCTTTGGCGTTTGTTCATGCTTTTTTTTTGCACTTACTAATTTAACAAGATTACAGGATGAGCTTAGCTGTGTGTTGTCACCACGTATAAAATGCAACAACGATAAATGTACATTTTTACTTTTTGAAAATGCGTTGGTTTTTTGCCGGCATTCTGAATGCATCGTAAACAATACGAAATTATATTGTACATAGAACAACAAAGATTTACTATCCTATGAATAACAGTTTGCTTTCAACACACACTGCACACACACACACAACATCCCACCGTTTATGACAGTACGTTTCAAATGGAGTTTTTGTAATTGTAAAAGTTTATCAATTCTGCACGAACTAACACATTGAAAAGTACAAACGGTGATTGAAAGTGTATAAAACAACCCGTAGGGACTCCCGGTGACAAAAATATATTATAAATATGTTGGATCGCTGAAGCTGGTCGAACGATCTTGTGCATGAGGCAATCGGCGTGGCACTGAGTGGAAGTCGATTTAATGACCATTCTTGCTGATAAAAGAGCATTTACATTGTGATATTTATCATAGATTTTGTATTATTAATATAATATTGCTCTTTTTTTCAAATAAAGTACGTGTCTGACTTAAGTTGAAATGTCGATAATATAAATGAGATAGTTGTTTTTTTTCTCCTGAGGATCCTTCTGTGTACATTTGAGCCCAAGGTTAAACATAATACGAGACTTGTGGTGTCCTCAGTGTCAATGTCGGTTAAACTCGTGACATTTACCATTGGTCGTGTTGCTCAGACAGTTGGAGTGGCTTTCCTACCGAGTCGTTACGTTTTAAAACTCATTTTTAAGGCCAGACAATTAAACTGGCTCAAGTGATTAAATTTGAATGGTTTTATTTTGCTGGCATTTTTTTTCTCTCTCCCATTTTATACATTTTATTGCATTCTGTGTCCAAGAAAGCGTGCGTGTCAATAGTGGTGTAAATTGACATGTG